TTATTTGCAAAATGGTAAATTATTTCTAATTAATTTCTCTTCAAAAATATTTTCACCAACAACTTATAAGGCCCGAACTATGTGGATTTTGATCCCCATCATAGGGTACGTAGGCCTTAAAGTCAATTTTAAGTCAAGTCCTCCTTGTAAATAAATAAATATTTCTCGCTTATTGTTATCATTTTTATATCAAACACATGAATTAAAGAGATAATTAAAATAATTTTAAAATCATATTAATATCGCATAATAATTTTAGGTAACCATTCTCACGAACGGGTGTTGTGGGGTGCCTAACACCTTCTCACACTCAACTGACTCCCAAAACTTATTTTCTGTTTTCGCAGACCACCCTTATCCACCTTAAACGGTTTTCTGAGATTTTTCTCAAAATCTTGGTAGCAACTCCTATTTCTCCAGTCTTCCTTCGAAGGCCGGAACCTCTGCTCTCTCGCCGTTCGCATCGCATTTCCGGGTGCGACAGATATCATACTAGAATTTGTGCCTACCACCAGTAACTAGTTAATATTTTCACACAACCCTCTGGTTGAAGAACAATTCACGTTCATCAGAAGGGAATTGGGAATAGTAAATCCTAATAAGTTATAAGTTTCTTAAATTTAAATAAATTACATTTTGAATCTTTTACTAACTTAAGCTTCAGAGTCGTCTTGAGTTGTTTTTTGCAAGATGAAATCTATGAATCGTAATTGCATTGGAATAAGTCAAGGGAAATCTTAACAAAAGAAGTCAGAAGATCAGGTATAATATTTTTAAAATATTGATTATTACTATTAGAAAATGATTCTTATAAGTGTACGTGCTATATCTTGTATGAATTTTCTTGATTATGTGTTTCTCTCTATTTGTCTACATTTTCACACTTGAAATAGCACTTAGTGAATTCTTCTTCCTAAGACGTGTTAAATCATGTGTGATTGGGAAGGCTTACTTGCATGAAATGCCTTCTTAAGAGCAGGTGTTCAATTGTGGTCATTTCTCGCATGAAAGCAATTTGTGATCATGCGTGACTTTACCTATATTTATTGTGCATTATTTAAACATTATTCTTGCTACCAGATCACATTTGAAAATTCTTTGACACAGATGAGAAACAGCACTTAGTCCAATAAAAGTGCTAAATCATGCATGAAACTAGTCTCATCTCACATGTGATCCTGTATTACCTAGATATATCTTCCTCATCTGCCTTTATTTTAACGCATGAATTAAAATTCCTTTTTCTAGTTGTTACTCAATCCTTCCTTCTTAACTGCCTTCCTGATTCTTCTCTAGCCACTTTGGTATTTGAATTACTTTGCCCATCACTTCTAATTTGCTTCTCGCATCTCACTTCACTTTGAAATCATCTCTTTCTTAGACCTAAATTCTTATAGTCTCTAAAATTCTCTGTGATGGCAAGAACAAAGAAGACTAGAAAGAGAACCTGTGAAGAGGTTACAAAGAAGAGAAAATTCAGAAAAGTTTGATTGGAGAAGGCAGTAAATCACCTTCTTGATCATCCAAGAGGCTCAAAACTAAAAAAAAATCCAAAAGCCTACTTCTACATCTGAGCTTGCTACAACTGATCAACAAGAAAAAGTTCTAACTAACTAAATTGGCAGAGATCTACATTGTCTAATGATGGTAGAAATGTGCCTCCAAGTAAAGTTTCAAAGGCCAATCTCTGAGCATTAATCCAAATTCAATCAATACTTCTCCTCTATCATTGCACCAAATATGATTCTTTTATCAAGCTCTTAACTTTGATATAGATGAATATTTGAGTAACTATAAAGGCTGTTAAAGCTTAACCTCTCATACTCAACTGAAGTAATGAAGGCCTTCTATGCTAGCTTTGGATAGGATAAGCAAAAAAAGAGTTACAAGGCCAATGTCTGAGGGGTTCTATTATTGAGATATTTGTCTCACCCCTATGGTTACATTTTTTTAGGATAGATAATTGATCAAGGCAAGAAAAAAGAGTTTGGATCAATATAGTGGTGCCATGGCTGTGAAAGCTCGAGTTTTTATAATGAATTGAATCTTTAGTAGAAATTGTATATATTAGTTACTATAGGGTTGCATGCATATTTTGAGTAGTGAAATAGAAAATTGTGGAGATCATGATAAATGTGCAAAATCCTAGGCTATATGTTACATATGTGGTGAAATGAGAATTAGGGGCTAAGGTTTGGTTTGGTATGTGTTATGAATGTTCGAGTAGTAACATAAGGTGAAATTATAATGAAAATGGCCAAAGAGTGCTTTTGTGCCAAATTATGAAAAGTTGAGAAATGTGAAAATTTTTCGTTGAGGGGTCAAATTTGTGGTATATGTATATATAGGTGTTATCATGTGGTTAATTAGGTATAATAAGTCCTTTTAGATTTGGTTCAAGGCCTAAAATAGTTTAATGAGACAATGAGATTGATTTGAGTGTTTAGTCAAAATTCTTTAAAAAAGTGACTTTTTGTACTTAAGTGTCCAAATTTTGATCAGACTATTAGATCATATCCAAACCTATCTCATTAGTTAGCTTAAGAGATAAGCTACATATGAGCGCTTGAATCACTCCGATTGGAAGTTGTATGTGAAAACGGTGCACGTCAGAAGTTGTCATTTTTTTTGTCAAATGACAGCAACAAATTCAGACTAGCAAGCTGCGGTGCATGATAGCATGTGGCTTTGTGCCACATGCCGTGGTGCATGGCCCCTAATCCAATATGATTTTGTAATTCTTGATGCATGCACTTGGTGTTATGAAAGCATGTGACTTGCTTCTGCTGTGTAATGCTCAAATGTGTTGTGATTTCAATGGTTTTGCAAAACGAGTCTTGGATCCAACTTTTCAAAGAAAGCAATTGTTTACTATTTTTATTGTGTGTGTGGTGATTTAGTTAATCATTTCCTATATCGAGCGAATATAGAAGGAGGTTACAGTGAACCCATAAATGAAGAATATTGTTGAAAACCCAAATTTAAAAGAAAAAGATTGTCACCATCATCATTGTTATTAAGGAGAAGAAGGTTCTAGAAGCTATTGTCACACTTTGTGAAGGATAAGGTGGTTTTAGAGGTCCCTACTTCACCTCATCGCTGTTCTTATGCTTGGTATGGAGGTCACCACCAATTTCCCTCCCTCTCTCACATCATTGTTGTTCTTGTACACACTATGGAGGTCACCGTCACATCACTATGGAGGTCACTGTTAGTGTGCACTATTGCCACTACTACTGGGGTGGTGCTTTGTATGTTGAGATGGAGGAAGCGATATAATGGAGAAGTTGAGGCAAGAAGACTAGTAGAATTTGGGTTCCATAGGCATGAGATGGAAATTAATTCCATCAATTTTCATGAAAATAACTTCTATATAAAAGCTCAATTCAACTCATTTTTATTAAACCAAACATAAAAAATTTTGAATTCCATTTCCATCCTATCAATTCCATCATAATAATCAGGGCATAATTTTTTTTCTCACATTGTGATTAAAGATGAGATAGCATTTCAAGAAAAATATATTTGATAAAAAAGAGTGACTTATACTTCAAAGCAAGTTAATATTTAAATAAGTTCCTTATATGTAAAACTAAAGATAGTAATACTCACTCTATTTTAAAGTATATGTCTTTTAATGTATGAAAAAAGTATACATCTTTTAAAGGTTTTTTTTTTTTACATAGATTAAGAAATACAATTAATATATAGAAATAATCACATTGTCACATTTGTCCCTAAAGCTTAATAAATGCCTTTTAAAATTGTAAGGGGGTAAATAAGTGTATATTATGAAAAAAAAATGTTAGTAAATACTACTTTGAACTTTTGAAACGGGGATGACATAAATTTTAGTCCTTCAAATTTACTTCAATTTTCAATTTAGTTATTGATATGTAATCTTTATCAATAAGTTCCTAAAGTCTCAAAACCATGCATAATTAGTCCTTCTAGTTTGAGTGGCAAAAATATTATAAAGGCTAATTGTGTATGGTTATGAATTGAATCTTTAATGACTTGATTGATAAAGATTAAACTTTAAAAATCAAACTCATTGATGAAGCAAACTCGAAGAATTAAAAGTTTTACTATCCCAAAAACTTTCTCCCTATTTTAAAATATAAATAGCTTTCAATAATAATCTGGATGCTAATAAAATTTTGTTCCTATGAAAGTTTATGTTTGTATGTATGTATGTTTTGTCTTCAATATCAATTGTCAATGATGAGTTTTGTTCCTATGAAAGTTATATGTTTGTATGTATGTATGTTTTGTCCTCAATATCAATTGTCAATGATGAGTGAGAAGAATATAATAAATTTATATGAAAATCCAAATTAATAAATATAATAAATAAACTTGGAATAAAAATTTTACAATTATTAAGTTGGTTTTATTTTAAATTAAAATTAAATGAAAGAAAATGCTTATGTTTTGAATGAAATGGAGTATAAATGAAAAAAAATTCCTAAAATATTTATTTTCTTATAAAAAACTGTTTATTTTAGGCCTAAAATAACATTACTTTCACAGCCACCCCACCTCCTTCCTGATGCCAAATATCCAATGGGATCATAAAAATATGAACGACCAAGAATAAGTAATTATTACTTTCTTTTTATTTATAAAAAAAATTATTATTTTTTATTTATTTTTTAATATAAGTAAAAAAATATATTTCAATAAACATTTAATATACATTTTTTAAATCATCCTTCATAATTTATATTAATAAAAATAATTAATATATATTTATGTTAATTAATATAAAATATTTTAATTTATTTTTTTATTTTAAAATATAATTGTTATGATTAATTAATTTTTTTTAAATTATGTGAGGTAGTTTTTTTTTTCCCTGTATAGAAAGAGATGGTGTATTCTTTAACCTATTTACGGATAATTATTTTGTGCGGACTGTGGACTGTGAATTATCCAGTGGTGAACACAATAAATTGTCCAAATCCATTTCTTCATTCTCGAGATTTGCGTAACGCCACATACTTCAGCTGGCAATGCCGTAATGGCGTTGTCAATCTGACATTCAGCACAATGGGCTCTCGCTCTCTCTCTCTCTCTCTCTCTAGTCTCTCCCAACCTTTCGATATCACCATCAATCCCCCCTCCGTTCAACTTTAACTCTGTCATGGCTTTTCCTGTTCTGCATCTTCATTAATGTCAAGGTATGCTAGTTTTAATGGCTTTTCCTTTCTTTGCCTTGTTGGTACTCTTTTCCTCTCGCTCACTGTTTTCATTGCGTCTCCGCCTTTTGGGTAAGGTTTCGCTCCTCGGAAATCTGAGGCAGATTTCTGAACCTTGCAATCTGTGGCGGAATGACTTTTGTGGGTTTATTCTGAGAAAAGACAGAAGGTATCAATAAATTCAGATTATTAAGTTCTTGATTGGGGGTATGATTCTGTCGGCATTTTGTGTGTCCTGTGTCGAAACAGTTTGTTTCTGTTGAATTGGGATCTATTTAGCTTATTGTGCATTGTAGGTACGGGATTCATCTCTGTTTTCTTGTTTAGCTCGAAGCACTGTACCTCATAGTCAAAGGGGCTTCCTGTTGTGATTCCTAAATGTTCCCGGATTTCTACGATGTTCTTTTGTATCATCTTTTCTCCAAAGGCATGAATGCGGAGGCTTCATGTTATTTTTTTATCACAATGATATGGTTCAGTTAGATTCTTACAGGTGTTAACAAATTTAGTTGGATGACTTGAGATTAAGTGGATGAGTTTTCAATTGAGATAACTCTGTTAATTGTATGGCAAATGTCATGTCGATGAATACTGTTTCCAGGGAAATTGGTATCAATGATGATATTATTATTGAAAAGTGGTCAGTTACTCAAGAGATGAGGCTAAATTCAGATTTTTTGACAATGAAGAACAGTTTTAATATGGTTTTTAGTAGTTTGCACAGCCTTATAATTTTACATAAGACTTTGAAACCTGAATCTCAATGGCTAATTCGTATGTATGGGTGTGATAATAAATTATAGGTTATTTATATACAAATCCAAGCCATCATTCCAATGATTGAGTTGCCAAAATATGTTGAGATATCCATTAATTACGTTTTCTTACTGTGCGGAGGGACAGCTTTGGTGGTATTAGTTAACAGCTACAAAGTGTACTTGACTGCTTGGTTCTGAAAGTTCCTTCATATTGAATGGCATAAATATGTTTACATTGTATTCAAGTTTCTATATTCTAATCCATTTTGATGAAACCTATGCAGCTGACAGGTGAACATGATATGTCCAATTTATTGAATTGGGGCAAACATGTTAATTGCTTCCATCTACAAACATTTTCCCTCCAAGGCATGGCTTACCGAGCTCACCTTTCCCCTAGACAGAAATCTCCCAAGTTGCGCTGTGCCTTTCTTTTTTCATTGGTGATGGTTTGTGCAATTGAAACATTCATCCATGGCCAAAAGATTTCTTACTTCTTCCGACCTGTTTGGGACAAACCCCCGGCCCCCTTCATGCGTATACCTCACTATTATGCAGAGAATGTCTCCATGGACCATCTCTGCCGCCTCCATGGCTGGTCGCTCCGTTCCCAACCTCGACGCATTTTTGATGTAATCATCTTTAACAATGAGTTAGACATACTCGAGATCAGATGGAGAGAGCTTTATCCTTACATTTCAAAATTTGTGATCCTTGAGTCAAAAACTACTTTCACAGGCATTCCAAAACCTCTATTCTTCACCTCAAACCGTGCCAGATTTGCCTTTGCTGCGGACAAGGTTGTTGATGGCATGTTCCCTGGACGAGTTGCAACCCCTGGATCACATCAGGACCCTTTTGTGTTGGAGTCACAGCAACGTATGGCTATGAATAGATTGTTACACCATGCAGGGGTTATGAATGATGACATTCTTCTTATGGCAGATACAGATGAGATTCCTAGCCCTCACACTCTGAAACTGCTTCAATGGTGTGATGAGATTCCTGCAGTTATGCATCTTGAACTGAAGCACTACATGTACTCATTTGAATTCCCTGTGGATTACAGCAGCTGGCGGGCGACGGCAAATGTGTACAGTCCCCTGACACGCTACAGACACTCCCGTGGAACTGATGTTATCTTCTCAGATGCAGGATGGCACTGCAGCTTCTGCTTTCGTTATATTTCTGAGTTTGTGTTCAAAATGACTGCTTACAGTCATGCAGACCGTGTGAAACAGAGAGATTTTCTTTCTCATAAGAGAATTCAGGAGCTTATATGTAAGGGGGATGATCTTTATGATATGCTGCCCGAAGAGTACTCCTTCCGGGAGTTAATTAGAAAGATGGGATCCATCCCGCGATCAGCTTCTGCAGTTCATCTTCCTGCTTACTTGATTGAGAATGCACCTAAGTTCAAGTTTCTACTTCCCGGAGGCTGCATGAGAGAACCAGGATGAAATCAATTTGGATATTTTAATTCATAAAATGAATGTAATATATTGAAAAAAGAGATGAAAAATAAATGATTAGCGTAGAAATAGAATATGAATTTTACATAAACATCTTTTTGACTTGCACTCTTTCATGCATGTAGAGAGAGGATCTTAGGAGCCATTTTGGTTTATGAAATAGGAGGTATTGGAAAGGAATGAAATGATAGGAAATAAAAAAATTGGAATGGTGATTGCTATAGAATTGTTTGGTTGGATAATTAGGTCGTGTTTGGTTGGAAGGTATTTATAAAAGGGAGGCTGTAAAAGTGAAAGTAGGTTAAATGCGCTGTAAAGGGTAGCTTGGTTTAAATGTTTTTAGTAAATTAGTTAGGCTAAGTATAGACTTTGATCAAGCTATTTAAGTAAATAGGTAGTGTTTATTTTGACAAGACTTGGCCTGCAAGTTTGATAGGCTAATATATATATATATATATATATAGATACACACACTATATTTAATTAAGAATTATGAAATATAGAAAGTTAAAACCCTAAAGCAGTTAAGCCGGAAAAAAAAAAAAAATCCTAAAGCTTAACACCTTCGCTGTATCGTCGAACTGGTCCACAAACTCCATTGACTACTCCTTGTCCAGTGCTCAATCTTTCGTTACTCCTCGTTAAGTGTCGTTAATCATCATCGACTCTTATTTAGGCCTAGTAGCTGTTTCTTCTGTTCTTTTAATCTCTTAGCCTCTGCTCCTTGACCAGCGTGGTCCTCATCTACTCCCCCTAAAAACTCAGGTTGTGCATGTGTAAGTTTTCATAGGCTTAAAGTCTATTTAAGACTTTTAAAGCGTATGGTGTATGCTTATTTAAAAGTTATTTAAAAGGCCTAGTTTTAACTATGTTCTTAATTAGGCTTATAGCCCAAGTCAACTTTTAAGTAAACTAAGTGTGCGTTTGGTTTTTAAGTTTGTCAAAAGTTCATTTGATGAAAGTTCATTTGGGAAAAGTCAATTTAATGAAAGTCAGTTGTTGTAACGAAATTTGTGTTTGAATATATTTTTTCAAAGTTAGTTTTGATACATTGAAAGTTGTTTGGTTGTGACAGTGAAATGTGCTTTTGAATGTACAATTATCAAAAAAGACATTGATTTATAATGATTTATAATTTTTATTATACAAATGTAATATATTCAAAATATTTAAAAAATGTAATAAGATTATAAATAACATAATTTTGATCTATAATGTTAAAAATTTGATCTCTAATTATTTGTATTTTTTAATTTTAAATTTTAAAAGATGTAATAAAGATTTGTAATTTTTATTATACATTAATGCTAAAAATTAACATGATTAATTACTCAATTTATAATACTAAAAAATTGATACCTAATTATTATTATTAAATAATAATTATATTTTTAATGATTAACTATTTTTTAAATAAAAAAATAAGAGATTAACCTTAGGGTAGTATGCTCAAATAACATCTTACTTTTCAAATCCACTTTTCAAAAGCTTTAGATAGTTACGTTTCAGAAATCCACTTTCAGCTACTTTTTGAATGTACTTTCAGGATGTGCTTTTCTGCCAAATATTTTTACCCCAAAACTTTCAACTTTCTGAAAGTAAAATTTTGCTTTCGGAACGTGAAATGGAGGAAAACCAAACGGACCCTAAGTTTGAATCATTAAAAAAAGAAAAAAATGCTCTAGTAGAGGGTAAGGGAATATTTTAACAATGCTTTAAATTTCCTCCTCAATTTGGGCAGGAGAGTTAACTAAAGATAATAATTTGAGCAGCTAGGTTAAAGTTTGACAAATTTTATTAAAAAACTCATATAATCAAACTAAACTCTAACACTTTAGGTTTTATTTTTATTGAGTCAGCCCAAATTCAAATTGTCAAATTTTTTAAAAATTTTTAAACAAATTTCAATTTTTTGTCTCCATTTAATTATATTTATTATTATAAAAAATATAAAATATACATTTTCGGACGCTTAAAAAATATAGAAAACTCAATTTTTAAAACAAACAAGGGGAGAAGAAGTACCTGCCTCCCCTCCATTTTTTCAACTAAGCATGAAGAATTTTTAAAATTTTCTCTCATTCCTCCCCAATTTTCCAATCAATCAAGGAATGAATTTTATTAAATTATTTATTTAAATATAAATTAAAGTAAAAAGATCATAGAGCCTTTACAACAATAAGTCAGAACATCAACGTTCTTCCTTGTTTTCCTTTTTTTTTTCCTTAAAAATTTCCTGTTAATTGATGGCTTTTTTTCATCACATGTCATGTGTATATAATTAATCATACGATAAATTTTGATGGATGATATTTTATTGAAGCAAGGTAACCAAAATATCATGGTATAGAGGAATTCAAATTCAATGTCTCTTCTCTTTGAGCAAACTTTATGCAACGATCATCAAACAATATGTAATTAAAGCTACTTGTCTGTGACAAAATAGTAAAAATGGTATAATGAGCCACCAGGAAGCCTCTAATCTATAGTTGGAAAAATGGGTTAGCCACGGCTTGCGAGCTAGCTCATGACGGGTTGTGAGTTGGCAAATGTGAGGTATGAAGGTCTACTTTGTAACATTCCAAAATTTAAATAGTGTTAATTAAGGGCATATTAGTTAATTGAGAGTTAACTCAGGTTAATATGGTGTACAGATGGTTAAATGGGTCTATTGGACCTTAATTGGAAATTAAATTAAACCCTAGGTGGCATTAGGCCCAAATTTATTTTGGGCAGTTGGCTGTAGGTTATGGCCCCTTTGATTTGTGGCTTATGTTCAAAATTTAAGTTTCTAAATTTTCATTTTGAGTGAAAACATAAAGAGTGGGAAGGAGAGACCAAGGGGGGTGATTATGCTTTGCCAAGGTTCATAGGATTCAGCCTTTTAAAGCTAGTTTTAGCCTCCAAACTCTTGAGGTAAGTCTTGTAACAATCTCCCTCTTCCTCCATATGCATTTTTTCTTGCAAATTTTATCGGTGAAGGGAGTCCAAATACGGGTTAGTTTCTAGCCATTCATGTAACTCTAATGGAGTTATTAAATGTTTATTTTAGTGTCTAGCTTTTGGATTATGATGTTAACAATGATTTAGGTTTTAAAGTGGGGTTTAAAGTGAACAAAAGAGCTAAATTGCTAGATTAATTTTAAAGTGGTTGATTAATGGTGTTCATTAGACTAATGAGAGCCTAACCAAGCAAATATAATCTAGAAATGGGTTAGGTTGTGGGTAATAATTACTGTAAGATCTCCCTTACTAATTGTAACATCCTCCTATATTCACTCAATATAGAAGAAGATTATGATGTTACTATTGAAAATTGTGCCCTAGAGCCAATCATTGTATTATGCACATTGTTATTTAATGAATTTTTCTTTTGTTATCATAACAGTTGCTTATTCAATATCATAATTGTATCCCTGGCCAAATTATAGTGATTGTCCTAAATGTCCCTGGTCGGTCATCTTTGAGGGATCATAATGAAACAAGACTAGTATGATTTTGATTAATTATAGAGATATAAATTAAAGTCATAGGTACTTGAAAGAGTACAAGGTGCTGGACTGACCCGCTATAAGAAAGCTACATGGTACAAGTCATAAGCTTATCTCATATGTAACTATATCACTAAATCCTTTAATCTAAAATCATCATGGATTCCTACATGATGACCACTGAACTTTGACCTATTAAAAGTCACCTTTGATTAGGTGATCGTAAAGGCTATGATTGAGTTTAGTAATATTCATATAGAGGAATATGAGTGGTTAACATGGAATTTGTCCCTCACATTAAGTGAAAGATATTACTGGCCCCTCGATGAGTAAGACTGAGAAAATGTATGGTCGTACTATAATGGAAAGGGTTTTTCCATTGCTACTGTCAGTTTACTCAGAGATCGAAAAAGTAATGGTCAGATAAAGGAGAATAACAATTCCATGTCTCACACTTGATTAAAATATCACGTGACAAAAGGGATGTGACATGGTTGCATGATAGGTTACATCGGATCATCAATCTCCATGTGAATTGAGTAGTTGCAATGTTTTAGTAGAAGTCACTTGTGACTTGTGGGCTAATAGCATAATTAGTCTACTGCCAATTTTGTATGGGCTTACAAGGTCACACACAAGAACAGTCCAACTCGAGCTATAATGTCCAAATTCATTCAATCTGGAATATGTCTAGATTCAATGAATGTAATATGGGGTGAATGAATTTTATATATATATATTTGAATATTTATTTATATATTTAGATGAAATATAAAATTTAAAATATATAGTTATATATATATATATATATCTGTATGATATATAAAATTAAATAAAGATAATATAATATTATATGTATATATATTCAAAATATATATGCATTATATATATTGTATATGTATATATATAATATAATATGTATATGTGATATATATTATATTATATTATATTATGTTATGTTATGTTATGTTAGTTTTAAATTTAATTTTATACGATAGATTAAATTTAATAACTAACATAATATGAGATGATATCATGTTAGTTTTCTAATTTAAATTTATAAGATAAATTTAAATTAGATATGATATTATGGATTAAATTTATGAGACAAATTTAATTAAATTTTCATGAGCTTTCAAGTGAAAGATGAAAACTCTTATCTATATACTATATATAGATAGGGATGTCCTTGATTAAGGAGGAGAGAGTTAGAAATGTTTTAATAGTTAAAAAACACTCTGAGAGCCATGAAACACCCTATAGAAAGGAAAATTAATGTTTAAAGAAGAACGGACGTTGTGAGAGCGCTAGCTCATTATTCGAGTTAGAGAGCTATTCGTGTGGATACCAATAGAAGGAGCAGATCTACATTGTCAGCTCCTGATATCTAAAATCTTGAAGAGAACGTGCGCCAATTTTAAAGAATTAAAAGGTAACTCTTCTATCTACTTTGACTTAAACGAGTTCGTTCGATCCAATCAGGATACGAATTTTAAAATTTTAATCTTCCGTTGTGCCTCTATAATGTCTGCCTTGACATTACCAGGACAACGCTTACACATCATTGTGATAATTAGGATTTTAATAAAAACCCTTACAC